ACTCTGGTTCAGTAGGTCTGGGGTGGGACCTGAGCTTCTGTATTCTTCGCAAGCTCCACTGCTGCAGGTCATGGACCACACTCATAGTAGCAAGGATTTAAGGGACACCACTGGTAAGAGCTGGGCAGGGCCCTCATCAAACAGTGTCTTAATTGGGTACTAGGATCTTACCATTTACTCTTGGAAGAACAGAGATTTGCTTTTGTCAATGCCCTGAGAGACACTGATTCACACTACTAAAAGGCATATGTAAGCAAACATATTCATTTTACTGAGTGAAATGTAACTGCACAGACCAAAATATTGGCACTTTTCACTGTAGGTACCACCAGGACCTCAAACTAATCCCTTTGGTAACACACAGAGATGAAGCTTGTGGACTCATAAAGCTTAAGGACCAGACCCTGGTCTTCAGCAATGTTCATCAATGCAATGTCACTCTGTGAGGCCTGAGAGGCCAGCTGACATCACTGCATGACATCTTCATCAGTTATTTCCACTTACCACAAGCAGAAAAGCCAATGCTGTACAAACAGGACAAGTGATGAAAAATACAATAGAAGTAAAATCTAAAAATGAATACAGAAGAACTTGGGTTTTTCTTACTTGTTTTGTTTTTAGAGGTAACAGTCTGAAGATCAGCTACCAAAGGAAAGAGTAAACCCATGAGAGAAGTAGCCCATTTCCCTGACCACACCATTTAGGACCTAGGCATACCTCGGCCCCACAGTAGGTGCCCAACAAAGAGCTGAATGAAGCAACATGAATAATTAGGAGTGGAAGCTAATTCATTTCGTATTTACATCTTAGTACTAAGAATTCCAAGGAGCTATTTTTTTTTTTTTTTTTTGAGCTGGAGTCTCACTCTGTCACTCAGGCTGGAGTGCAGTGGCAAGCTCACAGCCACTACAGCCTCATCCTGCTGGACTCAGGTGATCCTTCCAACTCAGCCTTCCAAGTAGCTGGAACTACAGGCATGCGCCACCATGCCTGGCAAATTTTTTGATTTATTGTAGAGATGAGGTCTCACCAAGTTGCCCAGGCTGGTCTTGAACCTGTAGGCTCAGGCAGTTCTCTCATCTCATCCTCCCAAAGTGCTGGGATTATAGGCATGAGCCACCACGCCCAGCCTCAGTGAATTATTCTTAATGATTTCAACAACAGCTAGGCCAGACTAGTTGTAAACATTATCTGATTTCCTGAAGACAACAAACAGCTCCCTAGTCTTTAACTTATTCAAACAGTAAGAGTTACAGACAACCCTTGCACTCCTACATAGAACTTCCTTTTCTCTGAAAATGGAGGGTAGGGCCCAAACTTAACCACAAGAGAAACTGCTACATTCTGGCACTTGTTTTTGACAGAATAATTTAAGATTTTTGTTCTTCTTCCTTCTAGACTTTCAAACACATGGTTTCTCTTTTTCTTTCTTTTTTTTTTTTTTTTTGGAGACAAGATCTCACTTTTTCAGTCAGGCTGGAATGCAACGGTGCAATCCTGGCTCACTGTAGCCTTGACCTCTTGGGTTCAAGAGATTCTCCCACCTCAGCCTCTCCAGTAGCTGGGACTACTACAGGTTCGCACCACTATACCCAGCTAATTTTTTTATTTTTTGTAGAGATAGGGTCTCACTATGTTGCCCAGGCTGGTCTCAAACTTCTGAACTCAAAGGCAAACTTCCCGCCTCAGCCTCCCAAAGTGCTAGGATTACAAGTGTAAGCCACCACATCCAGCCAATATACATAATTTCTTTATACAAAACAAATTTTGTGAATAATTTTAAAGGGTAAGAAAAGCAAAGATAAAAGGTATGCCAAGAGCTCTTGAAATGGTTAAACAAAAAGTTACCATGTGATCCTGCAATCCCTAGGTATATCAGAAAAGAACTGAAAACATCCACACAAAAAGTTGTACACAAATGTTCATAGCAGCATTATTCATACTAGTCAAAAGTGGAAATATTCCAAATGCCCAGTAACTAATGAATGGTAAATAGAATATGGTGAGCCCAGCAGGTCGAGACTGCAATGGCCGGGAGGGTGCCACTGCCCTCCAGCCTGGGTGTCAGAGTGAGACTCCAACTCAAAAAAAAAAAAAAAATTTAAAAAAATAAAATAAATAAAATGTGGTATATCTACACAATTATTATTCAGCCATTTAAAAGATGTGAAGTACTCATACATGCTACCACATGGATGAGCTCTGAAAACATTATATCAAATCAAAGAAGTCAGTCACAAGGGGCTATATACTGTATGATTCCATTATATGAAATGGTCAGAGGAGGCAAATCCATAGAGACACAAAGTAGTTTAGTGTTTGTCAGGGTTAGGGAAGTGATAGCTAAGAACTATGAGATTTATTTTGGGGACGATAAAAATATTCTTGAACTAGACAGTGGTGATGGTTTAACAATTCTTTGAATATATGAAAAAACGCTGAAGTATAAACTTTAAGGTATAAATTTTATGACATGTGAATTATATCTCAATAAAAAATTAGATACCTGGTCTTCCTGTTGTTCATAAGCATGATGACTGGGTGTTCATGCACATGTGTTAGATGTGCCACCCTCAAACCCTGTTACAAAGTCAGCAAATTACCTGTCTTGATAATGAGGGGAAAAAAAGAAAAAAAAATGCCAACACTCCTGAAAAAAGACTGCAGAAAAGAAAATCACATGCCAAAAGGAAATAAAATTAAAAATGTAGACAAAAGATAGCATCCCTTCCTCTCTTCTCTTCCATCCTTCCTCCAAAAATCTTTTGACTAAAATGCCATATATTCTATGTAGTGATTCTGAAAATGACTGGAACCCTAAAAATATCCCAACCACCAAACAAAAGCAGCTGCTTATTTCGATAATATTTTTGTACCATAGACCTTCCTTAAAATGCAAGTTGATAGAGGACTTATTCCACAAACCCAAACATGCACAATCCACTAGAGTTAGCTTTGAGAGATGCTATTGTAACTGGTAGTGGCACAAAACTCATTCCATTTCACAAAAGAGAACTAGACTATTATTCAGTCTAATCAGAAAGCAATGTCATCAGGAACCTGTGATGGATGCTCTTTTAGTTTTCTGTCTCAAGCCCGAGACAATGGGCCTCAAAAACAAAACAGGCCGGGCTCAGTGGCTCAGCCTGTAATCCCACGCTTTGGGAGACCAAGGTGAGTGAATTGCCTGAGCCCACCAGTTCGAGACCCACCTGGGCAACTTGGCAAGACCTCATCTCTATAATAAATCAAAATGAGCCGGGCGTGGTAGTACACGACTGTAGTTCCAGCTACTTGGAAGGCTGAGGCGGAAGGATCGCCGGAACCCACCAGGTCGAGGCTGCGGTGGCCGGGAACGGCCACTGCACTCCAGTCTGGGCGACAGAGTGAGACTCCAACTCAAAAAAAAGAAAAAAAAACCCATGCTAAACTACAGAAAAGTATGTCCTGTATTCAAATTATTGGATATACAATGTAAAAGAACATAGGTTTGGTAAGTGAATACTAAACCTTCTAGGGAGGATCCCCACTAAATTTTAAAAAAAAGTAACCAATATCACGTGAAAAATTAATAACTTCTCCCGGGTGCTAACCTCATTCATTTAGTGTCAACTCAACTGCTTCTTAATTGCTGATGCAGAGTTAAACAACAGTCATGCTCATACAAGATATATCTTAACTGGCTGAGACATGAGTCATGTAATAAGAGGTATTTTAATCTCTTTCATTTGACACAATGTCCTAGATTTAGAACCTCTATTTCAAAACAGCAGAAGGAATAATGCAGATATTTTCAAAGGGAAACAGTACTCTGAAGGGCCTTGAGAAGTACTCACCAAGTCAGTATAATCATATCTACACTCTTCTCCCAGTTTTGTTACTAAAATACAAATGATACCTGGCCTACACCACTCCATAAGGATTTTAAAATATGTAAAACCCGAAGCATGTTGAGATCCTTAATGACGAGAACATCCAAAGACACTGTTAGCACTACTTCACCATTGTCAGATTTGGCAGTATTGGTGTTACTAGGATGACCAAGTACATTAATAGCAAGTGTGACCTGGAGAAATTCAGATGGCATACCACTCACTCAAAAAAAGCATGCATTAAGCACTTATGCTGAGAGTAGCCTGTGGGCTATTCGCCCTATCACACATTGGCAGTGGGTCATATCTCTTTCTGTGTATGTTTGAGGGTGTAGAGAAACCATGTGGCTTTCCTAATATCTTTGATAAAAACCCTTTCCCCGTGGAACAGATAACTGCACCACTTGAAAGTATATTTAGCTGCTCCCTGCAGCACTCCCCTCTTTAAATCTGTTTTCCATTTCCCTACGCCTTTGTGTTCCCTCCCTCCAGCATTTCATTTTCCTTCTCCTGCCCTTCTAACATAACTTCACCTGCACCTTAAACCTCAGAATGGGGTGGCTCTACGTGATTTTTAAAAAATGCATTCAAGATCGCAGGAGGCATTATTCGGGCATCAGCCCCATTCATTTAGTGTCAACGTACTGCTCCTCAACCCCATCTCTCCTTCCCTTTCTTCTCGTCCTCCCCTTCCAACACCCATTTTGTCTCCACCTCTAGCTGTCCCCAGGTCACTGCCCCACCTTTTCCTGGGGGCTCTCTGAAGCCCATCTCCACCCACCACAGGATTTCCAAATAACGTCTACCTCCCCCAATGCACCACTCTGTCCTGGGATCGCCGAGTTCCGCCGTGGTTGCTGACTCTCTCCAACTTCAGGCGCCACCCCATCACTGCCCCGGTTTAGGGGGCGCTCCTCACACGCTCGTCGATCCCCCAAACTCGTCCTGAAGACCTCCCCAGCTACCACCGCCCCCCTTCCCAGACCCTGCCAGTCCTCCTCCCACCCACTGAGCCCTTCCGCTTCTGCCTCCGGAGTTGGCGACACTGCCACCGCTCGAAGCCCTGGCCGCCCGGCGCCCCTCGCCCTCCCCGGGCCCACAGCGCCCCTCTGGGCGCGGCCCTCGGACCTGCCTCTGCGCCTCCCGCAGCCCCTGCAGC